TCCTTTTGACATCCCTTATCATAACCAGCATTGCCTACAGCAACATAGTAGTCACAATCAAGCGACTCCCATCAGCCAAGGAGCAACAGAAAGCTTTCTCCACCTGCTCTTCTCACCTCATAGTCCTCTCTCTGATGTATGGCAGCTCTGTGTTTATATACGTGAAACCAAAGCAAACAAACAGGCTGGACTCCAACAGGGAGGCTGCCCTTGTGAACATGGTGGTGACCCCGCTGCTCAACCCTGTCATCTACACTCTGAGGAACAAGCAGGTCCACCAGGCTCTGAGGGAGACAATGTGCAGAATGAAAATATCAAGATAAAAATAAAATCACATGGCCTTAGAGTGGAAGACTTCTGAGAACCAGGTGTCTTCATTCTGGCCAATAATACGAGGCCTAGTGCATTTTCTCTGGCTACCTCACCTGAACACTGTACATCCCTAGAAAAATGGAAATCTGTTTTCAAAAAATCCTTTACTGAATTTTTATTCTTCCCTCTCATAGAAGCCATGTGCTTGAAATTTCCAAAATTTTGCAGATTTATACACTTTTTATTTCATTTCTCTCTAGCCATAAACATAGCACAACAAAACTAATAATGATTTACCAAAAGGCATTTGGATAATTAATATTACAGAAGGTTGTATATTATGTTGTGTTTAGGAAGGAAAGGATGGAAATAGTACCAATACTTGGGTCCACATTCCCTCCATGCCTAGCCCAAGGAAATAATGCTCATAGTACCCTTCACCTTGGAATATATATGGTTTGCATCAGGTATGCTCTGAAATGCTATTCTTGGCCCTTAGCTTAGCTCTCTCTATATATATGCATCAATCTCATGCTGGAGAGAAACAGAATTGTTCTAAGGCTTAGACCATTCTCTAAGGAGAGGAAATGACCACAGCATCCCTTGGCTGATCAGTTCCTATTTCCTAAATTATTTATTCTAGCTACAGCCCCTCAGATGCATGATGCATACATATGATTAGTTCCTATCTTAAAGCTGTTACCACAGATCCTTTGTGTATATCAGTGGAAGGAAACACTTATTTCATACTTCTATAATTTCTCCCAAAGACTCAAGTTGGGGGAACCTAAGTTATTTGCTTATCTACTTTATAGTGTAATGAAAATAAACAAATTAAACATTTTTTCCTGGTTGACTGGTTTTTTCAACTATAATGTTATCTTCTGATTGATAACCTACTTTAAAAACAACATTTCCATGAACTCAGTCTTTAAACTTTTGTACTTTTTGCATCTATTTTCCAGCTAGGATATGTCTATTTTTTTCTTCAGAGGAAACATCTCTAAAAGATTAACACAATTGTTATTTTATTTTTAAACCAAACCCTGAGGCTAAATATCAAATTCATTTTATGAAACATATTCTATACCATGATTAGATCCTGTTTGACCTTGATGGTCCTATATAAATTTCAATTTCATCTGATTGACAATGAAGAAATATCAAACATGCCCTAAAAAATCAGAGATGATTATCTATACACATTGTATTAACAGGAGTTTGGAAAAGACAAGATCAGAGTGGGAAAATGTGTACAGCCACTGTACCCATTCTCCTTTCCAACAAAAGAGTGCAGACTTAGGGAAGTGGCAGTAGGGATGGAATGCAAAGGGACCAGATTAGACTCTGAATCATTTGCACTGGACAAGTCTGGTGCTACCTTCAACTAACTGGTCAACTTCCAAAAAATACGTAAGTCTTCTCTTCATAAAATATGAAGATTGAGCTAGATAATCTCTAGGGTCCACTTGAAAATACTCAGGGACATAGCAAAAAGATGCTACAGGAACATGGAAATAATCTTCCACCCTGGGAGTTGAACTACTGAAGTGTATGGAAGTGGGGGGGGGG